ACAGACAAAGGTAGACTAATACTGAGAGAGAGATCCAAAGAGAGACATGTTCAGATTATGGAAAAACGAACGCAGTCTTCAGCACGGGGCCAGAACGCCAGAGCCACAGAGCGCCAGAAGTGCGCATAATGAGCAGGACCGGTTCGTGTGTTCGCTCAATAGACGCCATCCATCGGCGATGCTTCCTTCTCCTGCGTCGGAATATTGCTCCCGTGATAATGTGATATCGGGAAACTATCGTGTTACTCTCAAGGTGATCAATACGCGTATACACTCATATAATCTACACAATACTGCCACGTCAGGAGGCTATATAACTGGCATGATAATTAAGCCCGAACAGCGGGTAGCGGGAACATGTCACTACAGATTGTGATCATACCAGTTGCATCACACACACGCTCTCAGACACATGCACATATCTGCCCTGTCCCTGTTCTTCTCTTTCGTTCTCTCTGTGTGTTTCTTTCGCTCTCTCTTTCTTTTTTTCTTCTCTCTCTCTCTTTTTTTCTCTCTCTGTCTCTGTCTCTGTCTCTCTCTCTGTGTCTGTCTGTCTGTCTGTCTCTCTCTCTCTCTCTCTCTCTCTCTCTCTCTCTCTCTCTCTCTCTCTCTCTCTCTCTCTCTCTCTCTCTCTCTCTTTCTCTCCAATCCCTGCAACTTTTCCCATTCCACCAAATATGTTGCACACCAGCCCCGTGAGCCCAGGAGAGGCCGCGCAGACGACGTCCTGACTGCGCAGTGAGTGGGCGTTATACTAAACGACGAACAGCTGTAAACAAAGGCACCGTAAAGCCACGGAGAGAGAGAGAAGGGAACAAGAAAGACACGCGGAGGACGGGAGAGGGAGAGGGAATGAAATTGGAAGAGGGAACAGGTAGGGAGAGGAAAAGAGGGGAAGTGAAGGGGAAGGATTAAATGCGGAATTAGGACGGAGGGGGAAGGATGAGGGAGAGGAAGGGAAGGGGGGGAGGGGAGGGGATGGAAGGGGGAGGCAGACCGGGCGCTGGGCAGGTACGGATCGAGGAAGGTCGGTGGGGATAAATAGATAAATGGAGACGTAGGAAATTGATAAATAAGGGAATGGAGTGATAGGTAGACAGGCAGATAAGTAAATAGATAAATAGACAGATAGAGGGGACCCCGGCAATCAAATAAACGGATACGATAAGATAGATTGATAAGAGAATTGGGTGATAGATAGACAGGCAAGCAGAAAGATAGATAGATAGGGGCGATTCTGGCAATCAAAAGATTTATAGACAAATAGATACGTAGATAGATATATAAGGAACTGATGGACAGACATGAAGACAGATAGATACATAGGAGGAAGTAATAAAGAGGAAATGAAGAAAGACAAGGATGGTGGCAATCGGGAAATTAATGAAGAGGGGGCGACGAAATAGGAGAGGAAGAGGAGGCGATAGAAGAGGAGAGGAAGAAGAGGCGACGAAGGAGGAGAGGAAGAAGAGGCGACGAAAGAGGAGAGGAAGAAGAGGCGACGAAAGAGGAGAGGAAGAAGAGGCGACGAAAGAGGAGAGGAAGAAGAGGCGACGAAAGAGGAGAGGGAAAGGAGGTGACGAAAGAGGAGAGGAAGAAGAGGCGACGAAATAGGAGAGGAAGAGGAGGCGATAAAAGAGGAGAGGAAGAGGAGGCGACGAAATAGGAGAAGAAGAAGAGGCGACGAAAGAGGAGAGGAAGAAGAGGCGACGAAATAGGAGAGGAAGAAGAGGCGACGAAAGAGGAGAGGGAAAGGAGGTGACCAAAGAGGAGAGGAAGAGGAGGCGATAAAAGAGGAGAGGAAGAGGAGGCGACGAAAGAGAAGAGGGAAAGGAGGTGACGAAAGAGGAGAGGAAGAAGAGGCGACGAAAGAGGAGAGGGAAAGGAGGTGACCAAAGAGGAGAGGAAGAGGAGGCGATAAAAGAGGAGAGGAAGAGGAGGCGACGAAAGAGAAGAGGGAAAGGAGGTGACGAAAGAGGAGAGGAAGAAGAGGCGACGAAATAGGAGAGGAAGAGGAGGCGATAAAAGAGGAGAGGAAGAGGAGGCGACGAAAGGGGAGAGGAAGAGGAGGCGACGAAATAGGAGAGGAAGAAGAGGCGACGAAATAGGAGAGGAAGAAGAGGCGACGAAAGAGGAGAGGAAGAGGAGGCGATAAAAGAGGAGAGGAAGAGGAGGCGACGAAAGGGGAGAGGAAGAGGAGGCGACGAAATAGGAGAGGAAGAAGAGGCGACGAAAGAGGAGAGGAAGAAGAGGCAACGAAATAGGAGAGGAAGAGGAGGCGATAAAAGAGGAGAGGAAGAGGAGGCGACGAAAGGGGAGAGGAAGAGGAGGCGACGAAATAGGAGAGGAAGAAGAGGCGACGAAAGAGAAGAGGGAAAGGAGGTGACCAAAGAGGAGAGGAAGAGGAGGCGATAAAAGAGGAGAGGGAGAGGAGGCGACGAAGGAGGAGAGGAAGAGGAGGCGACGAAAGGGGAGAGGAAGAGGAGGCGATAAAAGAGGAGAGGGAGAGGAGGAGACAAAAGAAGAAAAGAAGAGTAGGCGACGAAGGAGGAGAGGAAGAAGAGGCGACGAAATAGGAGAGGAAGAGGAGGCGATAAAAGAGGAGAGGGAGAGGAGGCGACGAAGGAGAAGAGGAAGAGGAGGCGACGAAAGAGGAGAGGGAGAGGAGGAGACAAAAGAAGAAAGGAAGAGTAGGCGACGAAGGAGGAGAGATAGAGGAGGAGAGAAAAGCCGCTTCAAGGGACACGGAGTAAATGAAAGGAACTGGACATAATCGGGAGAAGCCGAGAGGAGGGAAGCGGGGGGAGGGAAGGAAGGCCCGAGGAATGGCTGAATCGGGGGGAGGGGGGGGGGCTAGCGGAGGGGGGGGGGCGAGACCAGCAACAGGTCCTCGCGGGAGCAGAGGACGGGGACGGGGGGGGGGGGGGGGGGGCGGAAGGAAGGGCGAGTGGGGGGGGGAGGGGGGAGGGCGTCATGGGTTCGGCTGTTTACGCACAAGCTAACACCAACAAACAGACTGCATATGTGTTTATGTATATATGTCCGTGTGTGTGCGTGTGTGTGTATGCGTGTCTGTATGCATCTATGCACGTGTGTGTGTGTGTGTGTGTGTGTGTGTGTATCTATGCGCGTGTGTGTATGTATGTATATATATGTGTGTAAGAGTGTGTATGTGTTTGTGTATATGTATATATATATGTATATATATATATATATATATATATATATATATATATATATATATATATATATATATATACGTATATTTATTTGTTTGTTCATATACATAAACGCATCTATAAAAATGCGAGCAATGGGGCCAAAGCGCCGATTCCTCCGCCAGCACTGCCGTTTCCGCCGACGCTGAGGCTTTGGTGATTCGGATCCAAAAGGCCATTTCTATCTAATCGTGATTATTATCGCCGCCAACGACGCTGATTCTCGCGGCGGCCGCATTTCAGGCCATCATCGGCTGAAAATCCCAAATCCCGGCCTCCACTTAGCACGGCGTCATGAGGCCATTCATCCTTCCCCGATATGTAAGGCATTTGGAGGATCAAGAGAAGGCGAAGCCGGCGTATTCCCATAAGGTCGATTCTCGCTGAGTTTTGGAGGCGGCGCGACAAACCTCTCGTGTATTGGTGAACATAATGCCACAGTATGAAGAATGACGCGACAGCAGGCCGGTAGGCGTAAAGGGGCTGATCGTAAATAGGCCTATGCTCCCCCCTCCCTCTACACACAAAGACCACTAACCACGTAACCTTAGACGCTGCAAACGGAAGCTTTTGTTGCAATGAAAAGCTTCGGTTCGCTGACGAGGGAGATCGTCTAATTAGCTGAAGATAATGGACGATGAAATGCAATGCTAACAACGGGGATGATGATGCCGGTTGTGACGATCATGATCACGTTATGACACCGTTACTAATAATGAAAAGGAAAATTATGATAATGATAATAACAATGATATAATGATGATCAATCAAACAAACGAAAAAAAATAATGATAAAACCAACAGCAATATCAACATTAATGATGAAATCAAAATTCCGATAACGATAATAACAAGAGAAGTGATGATAATGAATGGAAATAAAATAATAAAAATAACGAAGACGAAATAGTAGTACAAAAAGAACAAGATAATAACAAAACCAATAACAATAGCTATTATTATATCAGTCGTAGAAATTGTAGTGATGATCATATTGATAATAATCATGGTATTAATACTACAATGTTAGCAATTATAAGAACATAATAGTAGATACTTATGAAAACAACAAAAGTAACAGCAATGTAGAGACCAATACTAATAATCACAAAATTCAACAGGAACAATATCAATGATAATGATGATAAAAAGAAACACAGGTAAATGCAATAACTAAAATCTATATCAAATAAAATCTCATAAAATTGTAGCAGTAGCAGGGCTGGTAAAAATCACAAACGAGAAATGAAAATAAAACTGAATGACATTGGCCTTCAAGTTCCAGTCTCTTTATTTCCAGATCAAATTGATGTTACGGCTAATTAGCATATAGACGCGAGGCGATTATGATCACACAACGGAATATTAGAGTGGTTATTACTGCTCTATAATGATCAAGCAATTGCAATATGCAATTCTGAAAGCTGTTTGGTGCCCGTGCTATTAATGATAGATTTTTCCCATTCATTAGCTAAATTGATGTGTATAATCACCAGACCATAATCGCATTCTAGACGCCAGTGTGGATAACTTAATATTCGATCTAAAAAGCTTTTCTAATGCCATCACCAATAAATAATTCCCTTTGATTAGCCGAAGTGACGTATGGAATCGGGTAATGCATTTTTACCGCCGGATGACAGACGCTTATGTAGATTCCCACCAAGCGAGCCGTAGGCCCCGCCCCTCCCCCCGCCCCCTCGCCCCCGCCCCTTCCGTCCACGTGCGCGAGTGCCTACGGCCTCGGCCTTCGCCTCGTTCAGTAGTTGTCTGGATGCGGTGCCGAGTGGGTGTGTGCGCGCGGCTCCCTCGACTTCGGTGGTGACAGAACTCCGTCGGATATGGGCGCTTAGTGCTCGACGTCGAGTCCGGAGGCGCAGGGGGGACCACCAAGCACCTGGTCGCAGAGAACCATCGCGAACTGTCGATTTCCTGCGGACTTGAGAGGCGTGGTGATCAGTCCCACGTATTATTTTCTTTAATCGTCACGGCGCTTTTTAGTCTCACTTAGCCAGAGAGGAGCTAATCCTGCCCGTCCTGGGAGCTAAAAGGGCCGGACTCCACCTCGACGGCAGGAAATACGCAACAGGTAAACCACTATTTCGTCGGGCTACTTGTTGATACATTGTTGCTCTTACGCGCCGGGGAGAGCGATCGCGGTGCCTGGCGCCCGGGGAGGGGGCTGCAGGAGAGGGAAGGCTTAGCGCCGATTAAGTGGCTTTAAACTGTATATATAAGTATATAATTAGGTGCGTGTGTATATACACACACTCATATATATATATTTGTATATATAAATATATATATATATATATATATATATATATATATATATATATATATATATATATATATATATATATATATATATATATATATATATGTATGTATATATGTGTGTATGTGTGTGTATATATGTATGTATGTATGTATGTATGTATGTATGTATATATACACTTTTATATATATGTATATATATTCATAAAAATGCATATATATATGCAAATATATATAAATAAATATATATATATATATATATATATATATATATATATATTATATATATATAATATATATATATAATATATATATATATATATACATATATATATATATATATATATATATATATATATATATATATATATATATATATATATATATATATATATGTATATAATATATATATATATATATATATATATATATATATATATATATATATATATATATATATATATACATATATATATATATATGTATATATATATATATATATATATATATATATATATATATATATATATATTATATAGCATATATATATATATATATATATATATATATATATATATATATATATATATATATATATATATATATATATATTATACACACACACACACACACACACACACACATAAAAGCAATCAACGCATTTCACGAACTTTCGTTGGGTCATAAGCCTTGCAGCCTGCCTGGCCTTCTTCACCTGGAAATAATTGATTGTTGTCAAACTCACAAAGTTGAAATGGCCGTCGCAGATTTGAGCGAAGCTATATCCCTTGGCCGATGTGGCAACCCTTCAAGTTTCTTTCTTGTTATGGAGACAGTTGTGAAATACTTGTGATTGAGTCTCGAAGGCCGCGGCGACGTCCTTCGAGTGTCAGATATATTTATTGAGTTTCACCACCAATAATTTCCAAGGGGATCCAAGTTATACGCGGGGGATTTTTATCATTACATTTATTTGGTCTCTCCAGCTTTGGTGAGGATTGAACAGAGAGAATATCACAGAGAGAACCTGAATTGAACAGAGAAAATACCACTGAGAGAACGTGAATAGAGTTTGCGAGGAACAATTTCTTGAATCGTAAGGTAATCATGTTAAATCAATATATATTTTGTGATCTCCATGAAGACCAATTACCGATAAGGGCCACTCACACTTCCAGCTCCCTACGATCACACACAAAAACCTATAGTACGTTGCCTCAGTGCGCTGGGTTATTAGACGTACCCGTGTAGTAGACAGAACTGCATTTGTTTTATTCTCACAATTAGTGCTAGGCTGTAACTACAGGTTAATGGGAGTGAAACGTATTTTGTGAAGAACACGCAATAGTGGGTGAAATACGGACTCTTTTATTACATGGGATCTGCTTTGGGCATTTTCACCTGAGAGAGACGCAGTGTCCCATTCGAAACGTGTTAGCTGCGTTTCATCTTATCTGGTTTACCTTTTATTATATGGCTGTGACTCCGAATTTACTCTTCATCGTTTGTCTTATAGGAAAACCCTCACTATCTTTGGATGAAACAAAGATTATGTTGATGTTAAAGGAGAGGGGAAATCTAAAAATAGACCTGATCTCAACAACAGCATCTGCACGAGACAACGCCCTTGCAAGACGCTCCCGTCAGCTGAGCCCTTGACATCACCTGTCCGTTGAGATAGAGTGGCTGCGCTGATTGCAGGTGTTGGGTCCTTCTCCCCGCCGCCTGCGTTGCCACGAAGCACTTACTGCATATTAGAGCGCATAACATCGGCGAGATAGACACGCACCTTTGCCCAGAGTGAAGACACGTAGGCAGCCATTATCTCTACGTCACGCGCACCCAGCGAGGGAAAGTTGAAAAAAAAACAACAACAGATAAATGGAGAAATAAAAATAAAATAAACGAATAAATGAATCCGGAATCAAGAGTTATATCATATTATTTTTTCCCGAGAGAGATCGAACGTTCGGATAACATTGTACTGAACAACAGGTTAAAAATCCACGGAAAATAACCAGAAATTGGCTTCCCTTCATGAACGGTTTTTACTTGAAACCCGACCTGCAAGTGTTTGATTTATACGTGCATCCTGCGCTTAATCTCTGCATTCACCGGGATAAATGTTTATTGAAATTCAGTAGGAAGTGGATCAGTGGGCTAAACCAGCAGAGTATCGAGGTTTATGGGCGTTTGTTAAACTAGTTAAACGAGTATTTGAAGTGTGAAATCTACTCAAAATGGTAATGACAATAAAGATCATTGTGCTATAGTTATTGCAAAGGCTATAACGTTAATGGTCACGATAACGTAACCATGACTACTACCATCAATATTTTTGCTTCTCCTCCTCCTCCTCCTTCTCCTCTTCCTCCTCTTTCTCTTCTTCCTCCTCCTCTCCTCCCCCTCTCCTCCCCTCCTCCTCCTCCTCCTCCTCCTCCTCCTCCCCCTCCTCCTCCTGCTTTTGCTACACTAGCATTAGTGATGATAGTAGAAATAATGATAATAATAAAATAATAATAAAATATGATAACATTAGTTGTTAGAATAATGACAACAGCGATATAAATACATTGCTAAGAAATACTTTTGGTGTCAATAAGGGCAATCATGATAATAACAAACATAACAGTAATGATCATTATACCCACATTAAGAGTGAAAACAAGATTGTGGTGATAACAATAATTATGATACGATAATAACAGCAATGATATTTTTAGATGTGGTAGCATATGAGTGTCAAGGTGATATTGATATATTTTTTTATGGAAACTGTTATACTCTTAGCTTTCATAACGGCTGTGATTCCAGTAACCAAATAAATTCTGAATATGGCATTCCTAATCTCGTGAAGATGACGATGCGAATATTATTAAAAAAAAGAAGTTATATTCCCGTAGGCAAAGGGGCGGAAAGAGAGAAAGGTATTTTGAGCAAAACACCAGACCTCCCAAGCCATTTTCCCCTTATGAAAGTACACCCTTTTCTTCTCGCAGTAAACGGTTTGCTTCACTGTATAAAAAAAAGTTTATTTATCCGCGAAATGAGCCTCAAGGCGTTAGTTCAGCCTCTCCCCTCCCCCCTTCCCCCCCCTTTCCACATTGCACCGCGACCCGGCAGGAAGAACAGCCTCTTTTTTCTCTCGGGTTTAAACAAGGCCCGATTGGCTGTTACTTCGACTGTCTCTCCGGCTGTTACTTCGACTGTCTCTCCGGCTGTTACTGCAACTGTCTCTTCGGCTGTTACTTCGACTGTCTCTCCGGCTGTTACTGCAACTGTCTCTTCGGCTGTTACCTCGACTGTCTCTCCGGCTGTTACTTCGACTGTCTCTTCGGCTGTTACTTCTGCTGTCTCTTTGGCTGTTACTTCGACTGTCTCTCCGGCTGTTACTTCGACTGTCTCTTCGGCTGTTACTTCTGCTGTCTCTTTGGCTGTTACTTCGACTGTCTCTCCGGCTGTTACACTGGCCGGTTAAGCCGATTAAGATTCGGGATGTACTAAGTAACAGCGCATAATAATAAGAGCAAATAACAGAGAAAGGATTTAATTTTCAAAAACAGAAACGAGTTGGAAAGAGAAAGTTGATTGGTCAAAACGAGCGGAAATAGAAAGGAAAGAGGAGATTAATTAAAAAGACGAGGCTTGGAAGAAAGAAAGGAGGGAGGGAGGGGAGAAAGAGAGAGAGAGAGAGAGAGAGAGAGAGAGAGAGAGGGAGGGAGAGAGAGAGAGAGGGAGAGAGAGAGAGAGAGAGAGAAAGAGAGAGGGAGGGAGAGAGAGAGAGCGAGTAAGAGAGAGAGAGAGAGAGAGAGTAAGAGAGAGAGAGAGAGAGAAAGAGAGAGAGAGAGAGAGAGAGAGAGAGAGAGAGAGAGAGAGAGAGAGAGAGAGAGAGAGAAAGAGAGAGAGGGGGAGGGAGAGAGGGAGATTAAGAGAGAGAGAGAGAGAGAGAGAGAGAGAGAGAGAGAGAGAGAGAGAGAGAGAGAGAGAGAGAAAGATTAAGAGAGGGAGAGTAAGAGAGGGAGAGAAAGAGAGAGAGAGAGAGAGAGAGAGAGAGAGAGAGAGAGAGAGTGGGAAAAAGGGTGATAGATAGATAGATAGATGGATAGAGAGAGAGAGAGGGAGATTAAGAGAGAGAGTAAGAGAGATAGGTAGATATACATATATATATATATATAGAGAGAGAGATACAGAGAGAGAGAGAGAGAGAGAGAGAGAGAGAGAGAGAGAGAGAGAGGGGGGGGGGGGGGGAGGGAGGGAGAATGTGAGGTAGATAGATAGATAGGTAGATAGAAAGGGAGAGAGGGAGAGAGGGAGATTAAGAGAAAGTAAGAGAGAGAGAGAGAGATCGAAAGAGAGAGAGAAAGAGAGAGAGAGATAGATAGATAGATAGATAGATAGATAGATAGAGAGAGAGAGAGAGAGAGAGAGAGAGAGAGAGAGAGAGAGAGAGAGAGGGAGATTAAGAGAAAGTAAGAGAGAGAGAGTAAGAGAGAGAGAGAGAGAGATCGAAAGAGAGAGAGAAAGAGAGAGAGAGATAGATAGATAGATAGATAGATAGATAGATAGATAGAGAGAGAGAGAGAGAGAGAGAGAGAGAGAGAGAGAGAGACAGGTAGAGAGACAAAGACAGACAGACACAATCAGATATATAAAGAAGAGGGAGGAAGAACCCGCCACGGAACTGACCGGAGACAAATGTCCTGTGCAGCGAGGAAGGACTAGATAAATGAAAAACCGGCCCTCTGTTCCCGACCGACGGCGAGGCGGGCGAGGAATGTGGTGGCGGCCGAAGGGGACGTCGGCGAGCGCGGC